GTGACGAGGGAGAGGGAGGGGGGCGCGTAACGTACTACGAGGCGCGCTTTTGGCGGGGTGGGTGGCAATGGCGGGCATTTAATGCGTGTCGTCGGGTCGGCGACGCGACGCAACGCGAAGCGGAGGCCATTGGTGGTGATTGCCGAGATCGAGGTCGGCATGGCTGTGGACCAGGCGCACGAGCCCACGGTGTTCCTTTGGCCGGTGATCATTTGAAACCAGAGGAAATTTGCAGAGATTTTATAGGATTGTTTTCTTGTGGGAACTTATCCTCCTCGGAGTCCTCCCTTGGACATGGTGATTCGGTGAAGGAAAACACTCGTTTCATCCACATTTTGGAGAATATACAAGTAAATTTGGCTTGACTCCTCGAGTCCACGTGCTCTCTCCACCGCACGTTAACCACCTACCGTTAGGCGAATCCGAACGGTTTTTTTGGGGGACATAATTGGCTTCGTTTTTCTTTTGAGAAGATGATTGCCTCAGGGGTTTTTTTCCCAGGAAAATGGGGGCTTTGTTCCAATGTGGTACTCCCTCTCTCTCAGTTTATGGAGCGTGCGCGTACCTCTAGGTCATCAATTTGACCAACCTAATACAAGTCATATATTACAAAAAATATACCAATATAAACTTCAGATGTTCTACTTTCAAAAAGTATAATTTTTGTGTTATATAGTTAATATTAGGGTGATAAAATTGGCAACCTAGTTATACGCGTAGGACTTGCAAACCGAGACAGAGGGAGTAACAGGTTTACAATCTAGAGGCAACAATTCCTTAATACATGGAGAGGATCTCTGGCCATCCAAACAGCCATGCAAGACTCGGTATGACCGTAATTAAACACCTAACAGATCTGCTACCATATTTTGTACTCTTCTAGTTTTCTGTGGAACAAAATCCCTACTTTTTATATGAGGGCCTTAATCTCAGTAACTAAATGACCATATGCTGAGCGGAAAAAGGTATCGCCGGATAGAATAGAGAGAGCTTCACACGCAATGGTGGATCTAGGATTTTGAAGCAGGGTGGTCCACCATAAAAAAAACTTGGCCACTAATTTTACACGGCAGTGAGGATCCATGATCCAAACTTGGGTGTTTAAAATAAAGACCAACAAAAATTGTCTGATGTAATATCTGATAGTATTATGTAACAAGAACATTTTTTTTTCATAAGAAGGCATGGCACTGTTATCCTTTCATTGTAGAAATATTCTTGTGCTGACAATGAGATTGTAATTGGGCATCAACGTGACAAAGAGATTTTGGAAAATCAGCGGTTGTAATTGGGCGTCAGAGTCCGCGAGAGGGTAGCAAGAGCTGTAGGTAGTAGCAAAGTCAGGAGGAAGCAGCGGACGAGTAGAGTGTCTTTCTGATCGGAACATCAGCACACACACAGTGCGGTGTCGAATTTCCTAGTTAAAAGAGAGTGTTGGGCTTTTATTTTATTCACAGTTTTACCTCCTGTAGTATATGGGCTGGTCCGAAATCCGAGGGTGGGCCGTGGCCCACCCTGTCCACCCTCTAGATCCGCCCATGTTCACACGAGTCCGACTGAACAAGGACCGGCAAGTCCGTATGTTGGATGGCATGTGTCATACCTTGCAATAGCCATATTTATCAGTTTCTTGACAATATCCTCGTTGCAATAGCCATCTGGGAGCTTGTGAATTTGCAACTAGATTTATATGTACACAAACTACACCAACTTAGCGTCCTCTGCACGGCTCAAACCGTCATACGACAGAAGCAACACCGCCAAGAACCACAAAATCCATGAACAATGATAGATGATACATTCCCAGTCATCGAAACAAGAGGCCTGCACCATGAAGGGATGGCGCCGACCGGCCAGAAAAACACCTCCTGTGCGGGATTCCATGCAAGAATGACACCTGGCTGAAAGATTTCTCAGTATGCACTATACCTATCCAAGCCCGGCCCATCGGCGTAAAAGCCCGCCGGACCTCGGGCCTCTTCGTTAATGCGCTAATATGGCGGGCCCGGGCCTGGCCCGAGTCCGGCCCGTGGACAAGGCCGGGTCGGGCCGACCGGGCCGGGCTGCCCATGGCCAGATCTAGTATGCACATGTGCTCCGGCAAGCCAACACACACACTCATTGATCACGAGGTCCTCCTCGTCGATTATCAGATCATCGGATTCTTCCTCTCCCATGTCAAGCTGCCCGAAGAAAAATCATCTCGGTCAACTGGGTTGCACACCAAGAACCACCACTTGTCGCAGATCACGCATCCGAAGGAGATGCCATAGCGTAGGCTTGAGACTAGCGTCGTCGAACTCTAGGGAGATTCTGTTGAGGACTCGGCGGCGAGGTGAACACGGAGGGGAGGTCAAAACCCTAGCCGTCGCCTAGGGGAGACATACGTACGTAGTAGTCCATGTGCATGTAGGAGTACTAGTGATGATTGCCTCGGTAAACCTAAGCCATTTTTTCTTCACAAAGAAGGCGGCAATACGTACAATATCTCGAGTGTAAACGTAACACTGGACATTTCGTGAGTTTTAGGGTAGGCAGAGCGGTGGACCAATCCCACGGAGTGACTAGGTCTACTGCTACTCCGCGTAGAGAGGTCCGAGAGCGGAAATGCCTTGGGTGCCATGATGATTGGCGTATAGAAGTTCAAGCAAGGATGGCGTGGCGGCGGCGGCATCCTCGTGGTGGACCTGTGTCCTCGGGCTCCGTCGTTGCGACGACGTTTGCTCCAGCGTCGGCGTGGAGTTTGGGAGGTAGTCCAGGAGCAGATGCAGATTGTGGTCTGCATCGACGACATCTGGAAGACGGAACGTGTGCTGGGTTCATGGTTCGTGGATGGCAGGTATGGTTTCCTCCTTCGGCGTCTTAGTCGTGGTGCGGTGCTAGATCTGGAGTTCGATGGCGTGTCCGGGGTGTTGCCCCGGTCTGATTCGTTCAACGGCAATGACTTCACTTTTGGTGAGCCACCTTGGAGGTCCGCAAAGCTGCATATCAGCGATGGAGCTGCGTCGAGCTCGGGTGAGGAGGTGATACGTCATTCTTTTTTTTCGGTGGCTGATGTGGTGGTGCCGGAGGCAGGTGACGGGCGTTAGTGTCAAGCTCAAAGATGTTCTGCTCTTCAGTTTTGTCATGTCGGTTCTTACGTGACTTGTACTTTGTTCTTTATGATATGAATGAGACACGTATTACCAGAAAAAAAAAAGCCTCGAGTGTGCGTACTTGGAGCGGCTTTTTTTTAATAAATATAAATAGTCCTCCCATTCAGTCAATGCTACGAGGGTCGTATGCCGATGCCTAGGATTGTCTGCGGGTGGAGTGGAGGGCACTCCGTATGATCCCCAGGCGTCTCCTTTTTAGGCGATGAAGAAGCAGAAAAGGGCACCCGCAAAAAGAAGAAAAAAGAAGAGAAAAAGGTCTAGGCCTCGTAGCATCCTAAATCCACATCAGCCCAGCCCTGGAGCCTCGTTCGTGTGTGACTGTTTCGTGTCGCGTGGGATCTCTCCATCCCATTCTCCGGAACAAAGACGACGGAGGCACTACGTACGACCTACCATAAATAAAGCTTTATAAAAAAGAAAAAAGTACTTAAGGTCAACTTCACCGCGCGATCCCAAACGGACGTCCGTTTTATCCGGATTTTGTCCGTTTTAGACAGTGGGATGGGGTCGTGTCCGGGGATACGGTGGCCGTGCGCCTAGCACGCGGCCGCATCCTTTACCCCATCCTGTCCGTGTCCATTTAAAATAAAAAGAGAAACATGTCAAATGCCAAGCCCTACGGCCGCAGTTCATCACGCACGCCGGCAACAAAGCCAGCGGCCTACACGTCCATCGCCGGCATCAGCCAGCGGCCAGCAACACAGCCCGGCCTTCAAAATGAATGGTTGTCCTCGCCGGTAACACAGCCAGTGGCCGGCAAAACAGCCGGCCTTCAAAATGAATATTTTTCTCGCCGGCACACGGCCAACGGTCCAGCGGGGCGGGGGGCAACCAT